CTAAGTTACAATACACAACCAAACTTCATCAGCTTCAAATTATTAAAATATCTGTATTAATTCCTCAGTAAATCATGTGAATAGCTCAATAATGAACGGTAAAACAATAATATATTGTCTTCGACAAGTTTGTCTTAAAATTGCTCATCTGTTGGCTTGTCCATTTTTTTTCCCACTTTTATTAATTAAGAGCTTTCTATACCCACCAACGCATGAATTTGTATATTGCATAGCAAGCACAATAGTAGTATTTTCTTAGGAAAGTTGAGAAAATGTCCATCAGAAAGTAAATCAGAGATTATGGAATTCATGGCTGATAACTTTTTAATACTGTGTTGTACGGTTATCAAGTGCACTCAAAATGCTAGTCAATTTCAGTTATGATTTTCAAAGAAATTGAGTATTCGTGGTAATGGGTCATTTAGGGTATTTTTGTTTAAATCTTTATTTGAGAGGTTTTTAGCCGAAGGCTTCTTCCCCAGACAACCAGAGTGCACGTATATTCAATGTTGTTTTAGTGATATGCAAACATATATACAAACACACAACTCGTATAGAATGCCAATAAATGGCTTATACGTACAAAAGTGGAGGCCATATACGTGCAAATTTTAATTTAATTTTAAACGAGTTGATTTAACATCATATACGATTTAATCTGTAATAACAAATTCATTTTGAGAAGTCTTACGATGTAATTCGATTTAATATGTGATACAGTACGACAGAAAAATGAGTCATCGCATATAGGTCGGAAATTTGCATTCTATACGATTTAACTTAAACATAATGCGAGGTATGCCATTATTTTATGTGATTTTGATTTAAACTGTAGCAATTTACGATACTGTGTGTACATTGTTATACGACTTCTGGTTGTCTGGGTCATCTCTTATTCAGGGTAATGTAATTCGTGGTAAAATTGTATAATTAATATAACAAATGCAATTTCATAGTTTTTTTTAAATGGCTCTAACGAGAACACCAAATAAGGGGACATTTGCTTCCGTAACAATTCGTGAGTTTTGGAAAGACATATGCAGTACATTTAGTGTAATTCTGAAAATTAAAAGCCATTTAATTTAAATCTTTTTTATATGAAAGACTGTTGTGTTTTTGGGGTATGATAAATATTTTCAATCGGCAGTTTATTTTTTATTTCCATGACGCCATGTGTCATTTTTGCTCCCGTCGATCTTTTTTTTTTTTAATTTTTCATATTGACCGTTATTTCCAGATGATTCACAAAGAAAATTTCTTAAATATTGTAAAATTCTGCAGGCCCACTTTAGTTTTGGACGCAAAACAACACATTTCACGATGAATTTCGAAGTGCATCTAAGATTCGGGCATAAATGTCAAGATAAAAACATATATAATTATTTAAAATGTAATTATCACATAGAAGACAGCTCTTAACGATTCAGAAATTTAAGAACTTATCAGCACTAATTTATGATCAGTTGAAAATAAAAATCAACAACATATTTTTTGTTCTGTTATTAAAAATATTGAGGGTATGATTCTTTTCAGCTGTAGCCAACATACATTCAGTTTTATAAATGTGTTTCTGACAGATTTTTAAACCTTTTATGAGTATTAGAGATAGTTGAAGCTCATAAGTTTTAACGATGTAGCTAATAATATTTACAGAACTTATCCAGTGGTGCTATAAATGTTTTTAAATAACATCTTATATTACCAAAACTTTTTTTATATGACGCAATCCCTTGCGCTTTTTTGGTTGTGTAGATGTAAGTATTTAAGTTATTCCTTTTGGAAATAATACCTACAGTTAGTCTTGAAGATGTATTTTCAACTTTTGCATAACAATCCGTGTTGCTTGGGTGAGGAAGTGCATCTTGAACACTAAGTTGAGAGCACCCAATAAACTAATATGCCATAAGCAATAAGCTTGAAATGCGAAAAAGAAGAAGAAGGATCAGCACGTCCAATGTTTTTATCACTTATCGGTTTCATCTGGACCTTCAAACGTTCCGAAAATTATTTGAGATAAAAATAATTTGTCCGACATAAATTAGACACGTACAAACTCATACATTTTGTACACGTGTTCGTGGCTAGGATAAATATTTTCCGCGAACACGGCGGCAGATGTCAGTAATTTGTAAGATCATCCATGTCGGCTTGTCGGTGATTTGATGGTGTCCGGATTAATGTGGATACAAGCCTTACTGAAAAATGATTTGTTTTGACTTGTTGCATACAATTGAATAATAACAAATATTTCTATATCGTACAAAGTACAACAGCCCGAGTAACTGAAAGTTAAAAGAAAACACTGTTCCTGCATTTTGTTACTTCTACACAACATGGGGATCTTGAACATGTCATCGATATTTTTCATATAATAAGATTGAAGGAAAAGTGGGTCATAGCAAAAATCTCAAAAATCTATTCCCATTATGTGCGTATTAAAAAGTGTAAAAGTTGAACCACAACCCCCCTCCCCTCGTTGCGCTAGTGCACTAATGGCATATTAACAATCCAAGCCTTAATAAATTAAAAAACTTATTCATAAATCTTTTTCTCAACAATTTTCTTCCCAGAATCATCATGTCAATCAAGAACCAAGATGAAGTAATGAAATATGAAAGTAGCATTGAAACATCCACGCATGGCTTTGAGTACCAAAAGAATCTAGGTCTCATTTTATGGCTTCGGATGACACGAGAGGAATATGACTTTAAATTAGCGTTCGAAATGACGAAAGCGGACAAATATGATGACGTCGTGCTGCACGGTGAAAATGAAAACCGTTGGATTCTTATTCAGGTCAAACATGCCGCTGTTAAAAGTAATGCTAGTCAGCCATGCATTTCGTTAGAACAGCTATTCCCGAACACGAAAGACCGAGAGAAACAAAAAGATTTCAATATGTTCAAATACTTCAAGTCATACTTACTCGTGCAACCAAAATTCAAAGGTGTGAAAAAGTTCTACCTTTTCACAAATCGAGAGCTTGATGTTACGGAACAATTGGAGCAGTGGGTTTCACTCGAAGATCGTCAAGTACATCCAATACAACAATTTTCAACCGAATTAGCAAGACATGTGGGGCTGAAACCGACTGAACAAACGATCGACGAGATGGTGAAATATATTAACAAGGACTTTGATGCACTCAAGAATGCCATCAAGGAGCTATTCACGAAGAAAACTGTGTCAAACATACTAATCGACTACAAAGACCCATTAAAGAACGTTTTGAAACAAGTCAACACACAGCTAAAATTTGCAGACACATTTAAAGAAGACAGTGAAGATCCCGCTTTGGCTCAGCTATTTAAAGAATTAAGAAATGAGTTGAGCGATATGAATGCACTAGCGAATCCAAATAAGATTTTATTTGATGGAAAACCTTCTAAAAATGAATGCCTTCCAATGCTGATAAATCAAGATAGCGTGCAACATTTTTTTAACGATCTAACGCTTTCCATTCGACAACCAGATGATTTACGTCTCATAATCGACAGTGAACTGCAATCATGGCTGAGAACTAGGATGCAAGCTGATGTTTTCGGTAAACTCGACAAATCTGACGAAGACAAGGCATTCAACATATTGGATGCCTCTTTCGATGCATCACGAAACCAGGATTCAACCGCCAAGAACGCTAAATTTATCCATAGGTCATCTGGGGATGAATGTCTCCAACAAATTTGGAGCGGATTGAAATGTCGATACCCTGAGCTCGAAGAACAGGAGAATTTTTACATCAATAGGAAAATTTTCTATATTAATAGCACAATATCCGAAGAGCTATCAGAAAGCAATCCGCTTGACATCAGTCAGCAAAGAAAACAAGCAGAACCCAAATCCAGCGATCGTTATGCTGAGGAAATGGCGAGGAACAAGCCAGCTGCAATCGACGGAGATTTAAAAACTGCAGATGAAACGAAAGCTCTTTTGCAGATTACTAATGGTTTTCACGATAACAATGTAACAATGCAATTGGAGGAAAACTTACCCTTTAAATATTTTGAAACGGTGATAAACGAACAATCGAACGAAACAGATGACACAAAGTTACACAACAGAGCAACAATAAGTGACCAGCAGCTAGCTGTGGAACTGACAGGAAAATTTGACAACTGCCAATGCTTTGTGTTGACAGCGGAGCCTGGGATGGGCAAAACCAATCTTCTGCAGTACGTTGCACTGGAAAAGCAAAAGCTCAATGACAGCTCGGTGTTTCTGGTATACCTCAACAGATTGATGCCGCAGCTAGATGAGGAGATTGCTGAGATAAAAGACGTGTTCCGTGTTCTCAAATCGGCACTATCGGAAAGGAGCTGTAGCATTATTCAAAAAGCTTTCGAATGTAACGATAGAGCAAATAACCGTATTATTATACTGTTTGACGCCTTCGACGAAGTGCATAGCAAATACATAGACAAGGTGATCAAAATGTTTAATCTGTTGCTTGCACACAAATGCATACAAGTTGTGATCAGTGGAAGAAAACATGTTGAAGACTCACTTATGAAGGGATTGAACAGAGAAAGTTGCAAGTTAATGTCTTTGGTTCCATTTGACGAAAAAGACCACTACGAGTTTCTGAAAAAACATTGGAATGTTTCTGATAAAAATGTAAATCTCTTCCACGAATACTCTGAGCTTTTGCTGGCAAAGTTTCGCTCGAGCATTCACCGTAATCTTCAAGACATAACCGGCGTACCACTTATGTCCAAAATGTTGGCAGATATTTTTAAGGATCGGTTTGTACACTTTTCAAATTGTTCAGAAAAAGAGCAAGACGAAGAGAAAGACAGGATAAACAAGGAAACATTTAGCATCGTGCACATTATGAAACGTTTCGTCGTGAAAAGTTTACAGATGAAGATGAACATGCAGGACGATAACCAAAAATTGCTTGATTCATTGATGATAGGATTCTATCAAGAACATCAATATTTGGCAATGGAAATTGTCGATGTCGAAGAACTAAGAGAAAAATTGAAAAATCCCTGTGTTAAGAAAGATCTAAAAGTTTTCAAGAAACGATGTCAAGATGGTTTGGAAAAATCTCTTCTCATTAAAATAGTTGATGGAAAGATTCAATTTACCCATTTTTCTATCGGAGAATATTTTGTTGCAAAATATTTGTTTGACCATATTCATGACCATAAAGAAAACATTTTGCAAATTTTATCTCGCCATAATGTTATAAGAAAGTTTGTCATGATGATTATAGAGCAACATAATGTTGAGGAGCAAAACCCAAACATACCTCTCGCTTTGGAAGAGGATGATTATGGTGTTTTGAATATTCTTCTATCTCGTACTAAAAGTGATGTCCTTTTTTGGGCATGCGAAAGCAATTGTATTGAGTTGCTTAAGTTTGTTATACGAGGACGTGATGTGAAATTACTTTACCATCCAAAATATCGAACAATGCTGCATGCTGCGGCAGAGAATGGTTGCCCTGAGATATGTTCCTTCCTTATCGACGATCACAAGGTAGAAATTAATCGATTGCGCAATGGACTCGCTCCAATTCATCTGGCAGTTGACCAAGGACATCTGGATGTAGTGGATCTGTTTTTGAGAAAAGAAGCAAACCTAAATATTCAAAGCAGTCGAGGATGGTCGGTCCTTCATTACGCAGCATACAATAATCATACAGATATTGTTCAATACTTGATTGATAAAGACTTCGACATAAATGCTTTGGAGAACAGAAATTGGACTGCCTTACATTTTGCAGCACAAAATGGACATTATGAAATGCTGAATTTCTTAATAAGACAAAATGTGAATTTGAATGCCCTGGAGGAAAATGGTCGAACGGCGCTACACATCGCAGTGTCAAATGGTCACACAAGGTGCGTTGAGTTATTGCTTGCAACAGATATTGATTTTGAGCATCAGGAAGATAAAGGTTGGACTGCACTTCATTTTGCCGCTCAGATTGGCAATTTTGAAATTGTAAAGCTTTTAATTCGAAAACAAGCCAACTTGGAGGCTTTGGAGAATAGGAATTGGACAGCTCTTCATTTTGCAGTCCTCGGTAACCACATTGAAACTGTTAAGCTACTACTGAAATGCAAGGTCAATCTGGAGGCAATGGAAAAGGACGGTCGAACGCCACTTCACATTGCGGCTGGCAAGGGTCATTCGAGTGTGGTGGAATCATTGATTGTTGAAAAGGCTAACCTTGAAGCCAAGGCAAACAAATTTTTAACGGCTTTACATTACGCTGCTGATGGTGGCCATGTGAAAGTTGTAAAACAACTGATATCCAAGAATGTTAACCGTGAAGCTCAGGACAGCAAACTATGGACAGCAATGCACTTTGCAGTTCGAAACGGCCACACAGAAGTAGTGGCCGTGTTAGTGGAGAACAAATCTTGTATATATGCCAAAACAAACATTGGAACAACTCCGTTACACCTCGCTGCTAATCAGGGACACAAGGACATTTTAAAAATGCTACTGAATGAAAAGGCAAATGTTAACATTCAGACACTCAAAGGATGGACAGCATTTCACAAAGCAGCTGAACATAACCACGTGGAAGTTATGAAAGAACTAATTGCTAATGACGCAAACTTGGAACTTCGAGACAGTAAAGGATGGACTGCTCTACACATGGCTGCTGCTGAGGGTCATATTGAGGCTGTGAAATGTATGATTTCGAACAAAGTTCAAATTGATGCACGTGAAAACAAAGGCTGGACAGCTTTACATTTTGCAGCACAAAACGGCCACAAGAGCGTTGTGCAATTGTTGATCAATGAAAAAATTGATTTGAATATCCCAGAAGAAGACGGATACACCGCACTACATATAGCTGCGTCGAAAGGTCATACTGAAGTTGTTGAAATATTGGTCTCTAATGATGCTAACCTGGAGCTTATGGAAAAAGATGGCTGGACTGCACTGCATTTTGCGACCCAGAAATGTTCCGTAGAAGTTACAAAACTACTATTGAAGCATAAATCTAAGTGCAATGTTAAGGAACACAGCGGAAAAACTCCACTTCATGTTGCCGTCGCAAAAGGAAATGAAGATGTTGTGCAACTTTTACTAGATCATGGTGCTGATGTTGATGCTCAAGAAAACAACCTTAGAAGTCCTCTCTGCTATGCAGCTCAAGCAGGTCACACTGCCATCGTAAAACTACTGTTACAATATAATGCAAATAAGGACGCTTCAGATGATACAGGATGGAATGCACTTCATTTTGCCTGTAATAATGGGCACCTAGAAGTGGTCGAACTTTTGCTCATACAATTAGCGGACATAATGATTACAGACAATAAAAAATGGACGCCGCTGCACTTTGCTGCTCAAAAAGGTTACGTAGAAATTGTAAAGTTATTACTGTTAAACCAAGCAGTTGCGAATGCTAGGGAAAATGATGGGTGGACTGCCCTACACATTGCATCCCAAAATGGTCACGTGCCAGTTGTTCAAGAGCTGTTGAGAAACAAGGCAAATGCGAGCATTTGCTCCGATACCGGGAAAACAGCCCTCCATATTGCAGCAGCTCGAGGCCAAACAGAAATTGTACAGCTAATCGTTCCCGTGATGGATGATTTGACTATTTCAGATGATAAAGGATACACGGTTTTGCATTTAGCAGCTGAAAATAACCAATTGGACACGTTGAAGATGTTAATAGAAAATTTTGGAATTGAAACTGACGCTCGGACTGCCAGAGGGTGGACGGCTCTTCATCACGCTGGAGCCCGCGGCCATGAGAATACCTTGAAATTGCTAATGGAACATAATATCAATCTAGAAATTCGGGATAATAGAGGATGGACGACATTGCATCTGGCAGCCCAAAATGGGCACCTAAACATTGTCAAGCTTCTTGAAGAAAAAGCAGATTTGCATGCTCTAACAAGAGACGGAAGAAATGCAGCCATAATTGCCGCCTCAAATGGTCACGAAGACATACTAAAATTTTTAATGTCCAAACAAGTCAACTTGGAACATTTAGAGGAAGATCGATGGAATGCACTCTATTTCGCAGTTGATAACGAGCATCACAAAATAGTAGAATTGTTAATATCAGCGGATGTAAATTTGAACGTTCAGACCAGTAAAGGAAAGACCTCCTTACATGCAGCAGCAGCGAAAGGATTCACAGATATAGCACGTCTGTTGATAACTAAAGGTGCCGATTTGGAGGTTGAAGAGGAAGACAGATGGACAGCATTACATTTTGCTGCACAAAATGGTCACACTGCTGTTGTGGAATTGCTGCTACTGAATAAGGCCAACGTCAGTGCAGCTGAAAAAGATGGCTGGACACCTCTTCACATTTCTTCGCAGAATAATCACGCGCAGGTGGTTGGGATGTTAATAGAAAAATGCAAAAACGCTGAGCTTCGAACTGGTTCCGGAAAAACTGCACTACATATCGCGGCAGCCAAAGGTAATCCAGATATTGTAAAAACTCTTATCACCAACAAGGTTAACAAGGCCAATTTAGAAGCGGTGGATGACATGCGTTGGACTGCTCTTCATTTAGCATCTCAGAACGGGCATACGAGCACAGTGCAGAAACTGATCGAGGGTGGCGCAAATCTTAATGCCCAAACAAATAAACGATCAACTGCGCTTCACATTGCAGCTATGAAGGGGAATGCAGATATAGTTCAGCTTCTGGCCGATAATAAAGCTGATTTGGAAGTCAAAGAAAAAGACCAATGGACGCCATTACATTTTGCAGCACAAAATGGACATGTGAAGGTGATTGATGTGCTTATTCAAAAACATGCCAATTTGGAAGCCAAAACGAAAAACCAAACTACAGCTCTTCACATAGCCGCGTCGAAAGGTTACATGGAAATTGTCCAACTTTTAATTAAAAATAAAGCTGATATTGAAGCTGAGGATGAAGATGGTTGGACAGCGCTCCACTTTGCTTCCCACAAAGAACAAACAAATATTTTAAAAGTCCTACTTGCAAACGGAGCCAACCTTGAAGCACAGGACTATGAAGGTCGAACTGCACGAGACATTGCAGATCCAAGCTTAGGGTTTGCACGACTATTGGCCGATATCGGTACAGCAGTAGATGGTGATAGAATGTCCTCAGTCGAAAATGTGGTAAGCGATGATGATGATGAAGCTGACAGCAGCGATGGCTCATCGGATGACGATGATTGAGTGGAATATTTCTGCAGTTCCACAAGATAGGGGAAATGGATGTAATTTCGGCCTAAATGCCCGTAATTTGGGCCCATACATAAATTCAGTAATCGATTAAATTTTCAATAGCGTCCAAAAATACCTATTAGTACGTCCCAATAACGCGTTCATCTTGATAAAATTGATAAATAGCAGATTTTTAGCGATGGGCCCAATCTTAGATTCATAGACCAACATTAGAGCCATTTCCCCCAGGCCCTAGGTATATGGATTTTATGATTTTTAGATCGTTTGTTATATTGATGCACCAAGCATTTAATTGCCTTATAAAATATCATTCTAAATTGTAAAACAGAAACATTAATACAAAGAAGAGGTGAATAACAACAGGATGATTAGGGCAGATAGCATACCCAGAATCAATTCTATTGAACACAACTTGCAATAATGAATTATTTCCACATTTTACATGCATTAGCTTTATACTTTAAACCTGAGCTTAGCTTAACACAAAGACAATTAATTCTATCATTTTTACAACGATGATACAAACCCATAATTGGTAAGCTAAGCCTGTCACAAACGTCACTTTGAGTATGCAACGATTTTCGTAAATAAATCAGTCTTGTTCAGTCATTAGTACAGTACACTTTAATACATCTGTTTGCTTGAATCTAATCGAAGTCCGAAAATATCCAGAGACTAATAGTGAAATTGTTCCTCGTGCACTTTGTAGCGTTCACGAGTATTGAATAGTGAATTCGGGATTGGGAAAAGCTCCTGTACTTATCAAATACACTTCATTAAAAAATAAATACATAAGAACCAAATTAACGTAAGCGTATTTCCAACCACCTAGATTAACATGAAGTGTAATTCAATTTCAATTTGGAACAAATAATGAGTTTTTGTTATCTAGTCCGTTTAATTCGAAGCGTTAGCTTTACGGAGCTAATAATTTATTTTGGTGTACATTGCTGAATGATACGTTCTGGGGAGAAGCTTGAGGGTGTAACATCATAGAGTTGTCGCCAGTATGAACGTTAGCCATCATTGACCGTCACGTAGTACAGTTCGGGTTTTGCTCTCTCTGTCGAGTCGTTCGATAATTTATTTTCCATTTCGTCAAGCCAGTGTAGACTACATACAATGATTATTACAATGTTTACTTACATACTATGCATTAATTCTATTCTGTTTTAGCTTAGGTTTTATTTGCTGCTTGGACATAGTGATGTCAATAGTTCCGCAATGCAAATTATATAGGCGCATCATTCGATTGATTGGGCTATTTTTTGCATAGTTTGTTCTGTACGATTTTTCTGAAAATAAATTCCGTGTTCTAAGATATCGACAAGGTGTGTAAAAGTTTAATTGTGCGAGAATTTCTGCCCGAATCTATGCGCATTGAAATAATGTCGTTGATGAAGAAAAGCATTGCAAATTGGCGGCGCTCCTTAAGTGTTTGTATATTGATGAGCATGCAGCGCGCTTCATAAGATGGTAATGGAAATGCAGTCCAATTCAATTTACGTAAAGCATATAAAAGGAATTGTTTTTGGACAGATTCTATGCGTTCTTCGTGTATGGAAATGTATGGATTCCATACTAGGTGGCAGTATTCCAGAATTGGCCTTACATATGTGGTATATAAAAGCTTAATAGTGTATGGGTCTTCGAAATTATGACTGAACCTTTTGATGAAGCCTAGCATTCTGTTTGCTTTACTAATGATAGTATTATAATGTATGTATGTAAGGTAGCCACCATCCTTTCAAGACTTGTCTTGTATGCAGCTCCACTTAATAGCAAGATCAATTTGAGCTACCGATCTGAATTCACTATATCGCTGTATGAAGGGCCAAAAACGGAGGGGTGGACCCGTAAGCAGAGACACTTACGCGAAATCCACGGGAATTTAAGAATCTCCTTCCAACGATACGCTCCAACAAATCGAATAACACAATTCGCAATACTTATTAAGCTTCCTACTGGATGGTTTGTTAAGAAGGGCGCGTCAATCGCCCTGAAACTGTTGGAGTAGAATTCACACCACCACAATCGAATCGGTAGGATAAAGAAAATGATAGTGTTTATTCCCTCCTAGACTCCGGCTGTCAATCATACCATCGTCCAGTTTCAGTTTGAATGATACCCTGATGCTCCCTCCCAACCCAGTATTTATTTATATAATGAAAATGTATGCAATGGAGAAATGAAATATATCAGAACATTAAAATATGACATAATGAAATACATTTATATGGATAATATAGTTGCTACTGCAATGAAGAAGTATTTTACATATAATAAGATGCAGCTCTACACCTCCTCAGCTCACAACAGGTGGATGCAACACTGTAATGTATAGGATATATTAAGCAATTATATATATTTTGCTCGAATGATACTAACAATAATGCTAAAAATTGTGATGCATAACTAACATGACGAGAAATAACCTGCTTAATAATTATAAACATATAATATTATTTAATGCTTCTGTTTCATATTAATTTCGATGACTTGCTTGGGTAAACTGAAATAATAAGCTAAAGGTAATAGTATATCATGCAATGTATAATTTATATAATATATGTAGTGAAATGCAAAATGTATGTATGTATGCAGGTATTTCCTTAAAACACAGAAAATATAACAAAATACCAGTGGCGTCCCGTAACCTCACTATTTACCTGTGCATTAACTTTCAAAACCAGATTTAATGCCATATTCATATTCGAATCGGTTGAAAATACACTCAATCTTCTAGTTTACTCGATATCTATCTATTGCAAGCAATATATTAATTATTATTTATGTTTTGAGAGTTGGTGCACAGGTAGATCGAGGTTAAGGAAACGCCACTGGAAAATACAGAAAACCTCGATTTTAGTCACTCACATTCTTTACACTCAAGCTATATATGAATATTTTAATTGCATGGTATGATTGAACTCAACTTTGCCTATTTAATGAATCCACAATTTAAGTAAAGAATCAATTTGCCAAATAATCGAGGTTGTTTGAGCATACAAGAGTTATAAAAATAAGCATCAATGATTAATTCTTGAAATAGCAAAACTCTGCAAAGGTAAAACAATTAAATAACATATGGTGATATTCAATTTATTCTCTGGGTAATCCAAATTCTGAAAACCATAGATATCATATTATATTATTATAAAATAAATGTAAATAACAATGATTTGATGTTTGATACACCTTCTGTAAATGAAAATTATAGTTACAATGATATAATGAGATTTTAAATATGTGAAATAAAAATAATTTACTAGTCATGCAATACATAATATATAATTAATGTAAAATAAACATGTACCGTAAAACAATGAATGTTTTTCAAATTTTATATTTTTAAAACAAGTACTGAGGATCCAAGAGTTAATTCGTTAGTAATATGTTGAACGAAAATTAAAGCATTTGCACTTTTTTTTTTTAGTTTTGTGACCTAACTTCTGCATTTTGATTTGGGGTTACTTTGATAATGCTCGATGAATCTAAAAAAAAAAGGGTTAAAACTCAAACAATTTAGTTCTTTAAATATGAAACTTTGAATGAGTATATAATCAGAAAACTTTAAAAGCAATAATAATTCAACATTGAATTTGTGATGGCTGCATCGGAAAAACATTTCATAAGTGATGGTTTGCGTGCTTTTTCAAAAGTGCGAAAAACACGAAATTGTTTTTTTAATATTTTTGTAAAATATGTAACACATACTATATAAAACTATATACAATATCAACGGAAATACCCTTAGCTACAATATGGAATCAATGTTTCTTATTTGGAAAACGCACAGCGAGTAAATTTATTCTTTATATTATACTATCAAAGTTAACCACATTATCAAAGATACCTCGTTTTACGGTACTACAAAATACAAATAAGCTCGATTTTTATTAACCTCCGTACATTTAACTGATTTATCATATATTATTGGAATTGAAACAAAATCTTTATTATGCACCATGGAATCTTTAAACGCAATATGGAATGCTTTTATAATTATTGGTAAACTTTAATAATGAATCAATAGTCAGAAAAATCGAGGTATTTGGACAGTTAACAGTTTTCATGCACTTGTTATCATGCATTACAATGATGTGAACGAAGGCTGAAAAAGTGGTATGGTATTATTCAAAAAAATTTCCATCATCGAAGAGCTGAGAATCTACTTAAAGATTTAAATCATTAAATCCAGCCTAAACGGAGGACTCACGAACACAATAAGCTCCCCCGTCACTCATATTCCAAATATGATTATTAAATGAGTATTTACAAGTATACAATTAAATGTATCAACAAGTAATGGAATGTTCTCTCCGGGAATGGATAAATAAAATGGTTAATTGCTCTGTCATATAAACGTTGAACATACATTAGAGAAAATCAATCAATGTTACGTTGCTTCTTCCAGTTGTGTTTTGATCCTGTTTTAAATATTTGTCAATGAATGTATAATAATAATATAATAGGACCTGGGATTTATTAAAACTCAAACTCCACGGTGGTGCCCTTTACACAAGAATAAGCCTCTACTGCCGATGGTCTTTTAAACCAGGAAACAAAAAAGCTACGAAAAAGCGCTTATGCCTAGTCATACGCGATGTTAATAAAAAATAATAAGATTCTCTTGAATGGGTCGCGTCGCGTCGCGTC